TTGACTATGACAAGCTCAAGCACCTCAAAATTCTCAACGCTGTCCTTGCCGAGACGCTTAGGCTGAATCCGCCACTGACTATCTTTCAGCGTGAATCAATTGAAGACTGTGAACTTCTGGACACCGGAATTAAAATTCCCAAGAATACTCTCATTTCTATCCAGCCTTATATCATAATGAGAGATCCCGATTACTTTCCAGAACCTCTAGAATTTAAACCAGAACGGTTTTTTAAAAACGAAACTTCTCCTGAAAACCACTTTGCCTATTTACCTTTTGGTTCGGGAAATCGACTTTGCGTTGGCATGAGGTTTGCCCAGAATGAACTGCGCATTGGACTTGCTAAATTCATTCTCAACTATAAAGTGAAAGCTGAAAAAGGTCTTAAACTAGAGTACTTTAAAGGTTTGGAAATTAAAAACTTGGCCATATCATTTCTAGTACTAATAAAAAGTTTAAAATTTCAGGATCAGTTCTAATGAGCCCAAAACGACTTCCGTGCTCTATTGAAAAGCGGTAACGTTTTACCAAATTAATCTTTTTGCAACTTTATTAGATAAAAAATGTATATTTTGTAATTAACTTAATTTTTAAATGTTTCAATAAAATTTGAAGTGCACTAGCACAGTTTAACGTTTCTGTACCATAACTCCAGCGTCGTCTACCATGATACTTCCGGTGATGTTTTCAGCAAGATCAGACACCAAAAAGCAAGCCAAACGGGCAATCTCTTCTGGTTCGGCAATTCGATGAAGAACCGTCCCCTTTTTGAAGTCTTCCGCGTGCTCCTTGTAAACATTAGGCTCTCCATAAGAACGACCGAATGCAGTGTTGACAGGGCCGGGCGCGATGGCGTTCACTCGAACTTTGCTTGGTCCCAAGTCCATTGCACTTGTCTTGGTTACCATGATTAGTGCAGCCTTAGAGGCGCTGTACACTAACTGTGAAGGCGTGAGACCATCTACACTGACTGTGTTCAAAATGTTTCCTTTTGACTTTATCAAATGAGGCATTGCTAGCTGAATCAGCTGAATCGGGGCTCTGACATTAAGCTTGAAGACAGCGTCGTAGTCAGTGAGCAGATCTTTAGCGCCATTAAGCAGATCTCCGTGAGCAGAGGCGCCTATTTAGAAGCAAATATTAAAAATTATTAATTTGAAAGTTAGTAAATGAAATAGCTCACCTCCAGCGTTGTTAATTAGAACATCAAGTTTTCCAAACTTGGCAATAGTTTCGTTGACAAGCATCGTCCCCGTAGCTGGATCAAGCAAGTCTCCAATCAGCTGCAAAGGCACATGACCACCTGAAATGGTTTTAATTTTGTTGGCTACTTTTGTCAGGTTTTCACGGTTTCTTCCAGTGATTGTCAACTTTGCTCCATACTATGTTTTATTTAATATTAAAAACAAATCAATTTTATTTTAGTTTCAAAAATTACCTCTGCTAGTTGAATTGCAATGGCAGCGCCAATGCCTGAACTTGATCCTGTTTTAACAAATTTAAAAATTATGAAATTTGTAATCAACAAAAAAATTTTATACCAGTAATCAAGACGACTTTTCCACTAAAATCGTATTTTTTGGTATGCACAGACATTATTTTTTCAAACAATAACAGTTGTGAATTGGCAATAGTGTTAATGATGTGTCAAAAATAGGTCAGTTTTGCTTGTTTTATACGCACAAAATGTTTTGGCAACCTAAAAAAGTGCGTTTTACGATAACGTTTTTATTAATTTTGCGTTGACCAATTTTCACTCATTACGACATGTGTTTGTTGCGTATTAACGGTCATGTAGATCATCAAACTGTATTTAAATTTATATTGTTGATTTAGATTAGATCGTTTTGACAAAAATTGCAGTTAAAACATGCGGTTCTAGATTGCAGCACGTTTACGTAACTGTGCAATTGTTTTACAGTTTAATTTTAAACAAAAAAAAAATTTTTAATAAAACTTTGTTTATGAAACAGGCTACTAAAAACAANATTTACGTAACTGTGCAATTGTTTTACAATTTAATTTTAAACAAAAAAATTTTTAATAAAACTTTGTTTATGAAACAGGCTACTAAAAACAATTTACTTATTTTGAACAACATATCAAAATATTGTGTCAATTACTGTCCATAACTCGTTCAATCATTGACTTGAGAAAAAGGAGCAAACAAAGCAACAATAAATGACACTTTAACGGCAAATAGTCGCACATAAACCGACCTATCTATTGNAATATCAAAATATTGTGTCAATTACTGTCCATAACTCGTTCAATCATTGACTTGAGAATAAGGAGCAAGCAAAGCAACAATAAATGACACTTTAACGGCAAATAGTCGCACATAAACCGACCTATCTATTGCTAATCACCACCAATAAAAAGCAGCAATAATCTCCACAGTAGTACAATTAACCATTATATTCACTTCACGATTCACTAGTCTAATAAATGGCCGTTTTACGATTTTTTCCTTCATTACTAAAATCTTTGCCAATAACAAAAAATTAATCTTTTTAAGAGGGTTGATAAATGTTTATTCTTTTAATCCAGATATTAATAATTTTTAATGCATTTTTCAAATTGAAAAATACAAAATAATTTTTATAATACTTTTAAATATATTCTACCATTATCATTTTAAATTTTTTGTTAAATTGAACAGTTTAATTTTAAAAACTGTCACTAACACAATCTTCAAAATTGAGAGTAATTTAATTATTACCAATCAAAAAATTTTTTTTGTTGAAAAAATCATTCATCTGTGATTTTATTTATTATTTAAATTTGAAATTTTTTAACACTTTTTAAATTTCAACTTGCAACTATTATTAAATTACATACATTGTTCACTTGACAAGTAAACCATTCAACTGCACAAAGTGGTTCAGCTGTAAAAATAATCAACCGCACAATTCCGCTAATTGAATTAATGTTAGCTCTTTTATTTTCTAAACAAAATATTTTTTTGCTCGTTAATGTTATTACACTTAAAATTCTAGTAATTTAATCTAAAACAGGACAAATTTAAAATGCTCAAAATACA